GTCACCAGAGGCGTTGGAGGAACGACTTGGAGGTCAAGGTTACCATCGACCCACGTGCAGCCTCCAGGAACGGATGCACTTTCAGGCGCACCGGCAACGGCCTGTACCTCTCCCACGAGAGTGTGCCCGCGAGTTGCATCCTGGAGTATGGGCCCTGGGACAACCTGGTAGGAGGTGTAGACCGAAGGACCGCCGCGGCTAGCACGGGCGAGGCTGCCGGCCTTTGGCCCCCTACCGAGCCAGCCTCCCTCCAAGACGAGGTCGCCGAGGTCGCCAACAGGTTGGCGCAGGTTAGCCTCCACGACCAGGAGTACCTTGTGGTCGACGCAGAGACCCTGGACACTCAGGCTGCAGACCGAGAAGAGGTCACGAAGGACCTTGAGGAAGGGAACTGCGAGCTGGCTTCCGACCTTGACTGGAGCGCCGACGAGGAGGACCTCGCAGTCGCCCAGGCTGAACCTGGGGAACCGGATCTGGACGAGCCCATGAAGGAGGCCCCAGGGGAAGGCTCCGTGGCGCGCTCCGCGCCCGGGGCCCGAACCGAAGGCGAGACCGAAGGGGTGCGCCTGGACCAACCCACGGTGATCTCCCTCCAGATGGGGGACAGTGACGAGGAAGAAGCTACCCCGGACTGGGGTCCTACGCTCAACTTGCGGGCAAGCCCGCGGGCCTGGAGCTCGTCGTTCGCCCCGACCTACGAATTGCAGGGAACCTCCTCCTCCGACCAAGGGGCGACACCTGTCGTGCTCAAGGAGGGCCCCGGAGCCGAGCCCACAGAGGCCCCCGAGCGAGACCCTAGGGAGCGGAGTGCAGCTCGGGTGGTTACTTCCCAGCAAGGGCGCGGCCGCGCCTTAGGCGGACAATGCCAACTGGGCCAACCTGTGCTCCTGGAAGCCAACGCGAGCGGCACTGAAAAAGCCGAGACGCTTGAGCGCCTCCGGCAGCTCGCCGAGGGCCGAAGGGCCAGCAGACAGGGGCTCGAGGAAGCAGCGCGTCAGGAAAGAGCCCGAGTAGCCCAGGCAGCTGAGGAAGAAGAGCGGTATCGCGCCGGACTGAACCCCGAGCTCCAACGTCTCGAACGAGCCAACCCTGTCGGCCCTCGACAGGGCGAGCCAGTCCTCACCAATAACCGCCTGCAGGCCGATATCGAGGCTGGGGTCCCTGTTTGGTCGCGCGGAGAAGGCACCGTGCCCGGGAGAGGGCCGCAAAGCACCAAGCCGACCAGGCCAAAGTGGGAGCCCCCCCGCTCAACAGCGCCGGTTCGGAGCAGAGGAACCCGAACGAAGGAGGCAAGGGCTTGGACGAGGACCTCGACGCCGCCGCCAAGCGAGAGCTACGTGAGTTCCGAAGGGCGCTCCTCCAGCAGGAGGGGGGTGCGCAGTCCCTCCGGCGACAGCCGGAGTCCCAGGCCCGCAAGAAGCGGAGGAGGGAAGAGCAAGGCCAAAGCTAAGGCTGGCGCCCCCACGGGAGCGGCCTCTTCCTTGGCCGTAGTGGCGATGGCATCCCTCTGGGGCAGATGCTCTCCTTTCCCTGCCGGTTCTTTCAAAGCGCCTCGAACCGTGCCTCGCTTCCACTACTGGGGTGTTACCCCTTTGCTGCTTGGTGGCCTTCCTGGCAGTGGGTGCTGCGGCGCGCTTCGCGCCCGGCCCCACGAAAGGGGAGAAGCCCCACACTGGCACACGGCGCAAGGAAGCCGGCAGAGCCCTTGCTCTACTCCTACTCTGGGCCTTGATGCCTCTGGCGGGAGGTGAGGAAAGGGAGGCGGAGACCCCCGATGAGCAGAAGTGGGACTTACCTTACTTTCTTCTCCTGGTGGGCCTGGCCTTCGTGGGGGCCGTCTCCTTGTTGACGCGACTCGCCCACGCGCCAAGGCCCCGCATAGTGAAGGACTCCTGGACGCAGACGTCGCCCTCTACGGACCGAAGCGTCAACCCGACGCGCCTTCCCCAGCGGATCGGAGTCACTGCCTCGGGGGACTGCTACCACGAGCCCGGGTGCAACCACATCCGAGGCCGCAAAGCTCGCGTCTACCGACCCTGCTTGGACTGTTTGGACCTCCCTCCAAACCTGCCGAGGGAAGCCAGCCCTAGTCGAGCGACCAGCTCGGGCACTAGGACCGGCCGAGACCAAGGGTCTCGGGACAAGGGACGCCACAGGGTCTGGGGGGAAAGCTCCTCTGGCCGAACCCATCACCCCTACGCCCAATCTACTCTACTCGAGGGTCTGTTCTCCACCCCGGCCGCGGTCGTGGTTTTGACCCTCGCGGTAGTCGGCTTTGCGATGCTGCTGCAAGGCTGTAGGACGGACCTGCGCTCCTCAGCCCTGAGCCCTGAGGCGAGTTTCTCGCCCGGGGCCAAGGAGCTGAGGAGGGTAGGAGCTTCGGTGCACTTCGAGGACTCTGGACCTATCGTGCCCCCCACACGTAAGGGGGCGAGAACGAGGGCCCAGACACCCACGCCGGTCACCGTACCCTTCGTGGGAGGCCCGAGTAAAGCCAAGCAGCTCTACCCGGACAGCAAAGAACTCCGGGTGGCGCACCTTCAGGGAGGGGGGGAATGGAAGGCGGAGACCCTCCACCTTCTCCTGGCCCGACTGGCCGAAACCACCCAGAAGTCGTACCTCTCACAGTGGAGGTGGTGGGAGCTCTTTTGTGCCAGAAGGGGCACTTCCCCGTGGAGGAGAGTCGCCGCGTACTCCGCCTCGGAGGAGGACCTCTTTGTGCAGTACGTGGTGCACTGCGGGGTGAACTCCGACAAAGCTCCCGGCACCGTGAAGGGCAGACTGGCGGCAATCCGGGCCTTCCACATCACCAGTGGCCTCCCGGACCCCTTCGCGCAACTCCCCAGAGTCGCGCTGGTAGTGGCGGGGCTGAAAAAGAGGTACGGCACGAAGGAGCGGCGGAGGCCAGTGACGCCAGAGATGTTGCGATGGCTTTATACGCACCTGCACGGAGGGACGCTTGAACAAACGGAGGCCGCCCTTCAATGGGGGGCCCTCTGCCTGGCGTTTTTCTTCCTTCTCCGTGCCTCTGAGTACCTCGACACTGGGTATCACTCTCCGTTACGCGGGCTGCGGGGCAAGGACCTGAGACTGACGCGGGAAGGAAAACCCTGCTCACTCAGGGACTTTGAGGATGCGGATGAACTCACAGTGTTCATCCGAGGGTCAAAGACTGACGTCTACAACAGAGGAGAGTACCGCAACTACTACAAGACCGGGCTGCTGCTCTGCCCGGTGAGAGCGGCGGCTCAGCTCTTCAGGGCCTTTCCCCTGCGTTTTGCGGGGGGGCCCGAGGAAGAAGAACTCCTCTTCCGAGACGCGGAGGGCAGACCGCTTCCACGGACCCTAGTCTCGACCCTGATCCGCAAAGCTGCTGAGGCCCTAGGGGAACCTGAAGGAGCCCTGGGAACCCACAGCCTACGCTTCGGAGGGGCTTCAGCCCTTTGGGCGGCTTTCGGTGACGCCGCCCTCGTCAAACGGTGGGGGCGATGGACGTCCGAATCTTTCCAGACGTACATCTGGGACGCCCGAGCTACGTCCAAGGACGTAGCCAGGAAGATGGCCCTTACGGACCTCACTCCGCGCTGAAGCCGCGGCGCGTTTCGCGCCCGGCAGTCACCGCAGGTCGTCCCCTTTGCTCCGCCCGGGCCGCGGCGCGTTTCGCGCCCGGCCCTCCTCATGGGAGGGGTGTGAGCCCAAAGGGCAAACAACCTTTTGAGTGCTTCGCGCGCAAAAAGAGTGAGGGCGAGCAGTGCCGCTGGTGAGTAGGAACTTGTACGTACAGCTTGCGTGCGTTAGGTTCTGTAGGACTAGCTGTACTGTCCGCCGTAGTTAGGGCTCGAGGTAGGGCTGTATAGTGTACAGAGCGCTTGCGCTTCCCACCCGCCCGCCCCCTGAGCCCAAAGGGCAAACAACCTTTTGAGTGCTTCGCGCGCAAAAAGAGTGAGGGCGAGCAGTGCCGCTGGTGAGTAGGAACCCTATTTTCTCGTCTTCAGGCAAGCAAAAAATAGGGACAGTACACAGGCGAAAGTGCTGTATTGTCCCTATTTTTTGTTTGCCGGTACCAAAAAAGTGCCGTACTGTCCCTAAAAAACCTAAAAACCCAATCTTTTGGGGACTACCGGGGGGGCTGTAGGGCTCGTAGTGCTGGAAAGATTGGTTTTTTACGTTTTTAGGGACAGTATGGCACTTTCTTGGTACCCGCAGGCAAAAAATAGGGACAGTACAGCACTTCTGCAGTGTCGAGAGGCGGAAGTGTTGTACTGTCCCTAATTTTTTCGTTCCCAGACAAGCCAAAAATAGGGACAGTACAGCACTTCTGCAGTCTGGAAAGGCGAAAGTGCTGTACTGTCCCTATTTTCTCATCCCCAGACACGCAAAAAATAGGGACAGTACAGCACTTCTGCAGTCTGGAGAGGCGAAAGTGCTGTGCTGTCCCTATATTCTCGTTTTCAGGCAAGCCATATTCGCGTTTTGCAGACACACACGCACACATCGCCTTAAGAACGAAGTCGGTAACACCAGAAACGAACCATCAGATCCTGGTAGTCCATGTCTCGCATCTGCATGTACACATCGCTGTGAGCAAGAAGTCAGAAACAATCGTTTCAACACGAAAATCATCGGTATTTGCAGCGTTTTCTGCATCTGCATATATAGGCAATAACACATATATATATATGGAGTGAGCAGATTCTGAAAAGCCTTGGGGGTGGATCTTGGGGGGGCGGCTATATATATATATTTATATATATACATATATATATACATATACATATATATATATACATATATATATATGTATGTTCAGATGTATGTATATGTATGTATATACAGATACATGTATGTGTGTATATACATACATACATACATACATACATACATACACACATATACACCTTTGTGCTGTGTGCCCTTGTGCCCTTGCCGTGCCCTTGCCATGCCCTTGTGCCCGGGATCACCCTGGGACCTGTCTCCATGATCGTGCTGCAGCACCGCAGGAGCTGGAAAAGACTCACGCTCAACTCCGGTTGATCACGGACCAGTGTGCCCGACCTGTTTTTTAATGTGATGAAAACATGCCATCGGGATTGTGACAGGACAGAAGCCCTCCGATCTGACTTCACAGCCTTGCGCGAAGAGCTGGCGCACGCTCAGGAAGGGAACACGACCATGGATACCTCTCAATGTGCTGGAGTGACACGGCCAGAGAGCTGTCCGCAACTGCCGCATCTCGAGATCTGCCTGTTTGTGAGGAGCAGCTCAAAAAAGCGCGTTCCGAGGCGGTGCTCGGAATTCACAAGCGACCCCCTGTTCATCACATGCGTTTGGTTTTACACGTTATCGGCTGCGTCATGGCCCACAATCGTTTCATGTGGAAACGTTGTGACGTGCACCGTCTCAGCTAGCTAGCAGCGGCAAGGCGAAGCGCCGGAAGAAGGAGGAGGAGAAGGCACTTGCTACATGCGCGATGCCCAACATGTTGTTGCGCCATATTGAGTTGTAAGCTGAGCCCCAAGTCACCCCTCACTTCGCGCAGGAGAAACTCCAGAAAGAGGAGAAGAGGAAGAAACAGGCAACTGCCGTTAGCAGTGCCACTCAAGTGCTTGTGAGTTACAATCTGACTTGCTGGTTTAGTCTCCGATGTGAGTGCTATCCTGTCCCGTGGCACTTGGCACATGACCCGGCCTGTCCGAGGAAGCGAAGGAGAAACGCCGGAAAGAGGAGAAGAGGAAGGAGGAGCAATCCGACTGCCTGACTAGCTCTCCGATGTGAGCACTCCAAAAATTATACGCCGATTCTGGAAGTTTATTTGTGGAACTGGCCACACAGGAGAAAGCTAAGAATAAAAGAAAGTGCGGCGCTTACTCTGTCGTTCTTTTGCGGACTGTGAGGGTATGAACGTGGTTGGGGTGAGCAGGGGGATTGCTTTCTCCGGGATGGATGGGAGGGCCTGGCAGTGAGGCGTAGAAGGTTGGGACGATATCGACTTGTATCCATGCGCTCCCAAAACGCGCGTTGAGTGAGCCCGACAACGCTGAGGATCACCGAGATCGTGACGAAGCTGCAAGGCTTGGGGCTGGTTTAATTTTATAAAGCTATTAGGTGAGTATGATGAGATGCAACGGGTGGCTTCGGGTTCGTTTGGGTTGAAGTTTCAGCAAGCTTCTCCAAGCTGGCCGAGGTTAATTTCCCATAGTTTTCGAACTCAAGCAGCCACACAAGAACATCCTGCTTTTGTGTCAACTTTCCTTGAGCCCACCTCGAGAAGCTTGCGCCCGCATGAGCCTTAATCCCCAAATCCGAAAGGTCTTCGTCTAGGTCGCTTTTGGATGGAAAGTCGACAGTAACCAAGTGAGAATGAAGTAATGAAGTGGGAGGATAATTGGGATTTAAAGAAGCCGCGAAAAATCGGAGTTCCGCTCAGGAGCCTCATCATCCGCGGAAGCCTTGTCCGGGGCCCGGTTTTCGGTTTCGGTTCCACTGAAAGATGCGCGGTAGCCCAACAACCGATGAACTGCGAGTTTTCTCCCAGTTCTGCACGTCCACGTCCTACCCGAAACCCTGGGACCCTTGTTGGATCCTGGGAGCCATCTCCCTGAACACTAAAGTCACTCTCGAGTCTCGATTCTGGATCCCTTGCCCGGGCCCCGGCACATGGCTTTGGCCATCGAGCCCTCTGGTAGTGGGCGCTGGTAGTTGGCTGCAGGGAGCAAGTCGAGTGCAGAAAAATTGAAAGAAATCTTCGCTGAGGTTGGCTCGTCTTCGGTCGTGGCTTTGGCCTGCCAGTGCTTCGGACCTGTTAGAAGCCGAAAGATTTCACGACGGGAGCTGCTCTGAGGACTTCCCCTTCCGCGACACACTTCAAAAGTCGTCATTCGACTTTGCTTTTGTGAAGAAAGGGCAGCTCGGGGGGCTGTTACAAGATGTTACAATGTCATCTCATCGACTCTCCACAATTAACAAGACCCACAAATCCTCAACCCGTGAGATCCAAAACAACTTCGGTTCCTAGGTTCCGGCGTCGCGGTCGCGGATGGCTCACTGGGAAACGGTCCGGAACACTCAGTTAGGCCGGTGCGTTCTTGTTGTGATCTGTTCAAGGCCACCAAGGCTCAGGTAGGTCGATGAGCAATGTGGTTAAAACTGCTCACATGGTCAGTGACTGCCTGGCAAAAGTGCGCAATCGTTCCACCCACCGTTATGTTCACCGGAAGCCCTTGACTCCTAGCAGTTCAACCTACCAAGGCAACAACGACGACGCAGCCAGGCGTGCCTTTCGCTGCCTGCACCTGGAAGCCGTTCTGTGGCGTCTCGTCAACTGCTCCGGGGAAGCCAAGATCGCTGCACTTCACCTGTCGGGAGCAGCAACCCCGTGAGGGGAGGTGTCCTGCGGTAGTTCGAACCTGTAGCGGCTTGTGGACCAACTGTCCCCTCACCCGGTATCGGAATTTCTTACAGCTGCCTTGTAGGTACTGTGTTGAAGGAATGAGTGTACAAAACACGAAGCACCGTCCTCAAACACAACCCCAAAACACGCTCTTTCTGCGATTCTTCTGCATCAAAACCTCCACATCCTTGTTGGAGGAAAGAAGTGGCATCACCGATCCTCCACTGGTCAGGGCCTTGTCCGTTGAAGCATTTACAGGGTTTAGTCGAGTGTGTACGCAGCAAATCAGCAAGTGACCGTCTTTCCTATGGGGCTTCGGGGCTCCCGGGAGGGATTAAGAGCTCGGGGGCACCTGCAAGCCTTGGGGCCTTGGGGCGAATTCGAGAAGATGGTCTTCAGTCTGTCAAAGGACAAGTTCTGTTCATGTTCGTTAGGGCTCAGCAAGAACTTTCTCAGGCATTCTAGGGTAGGAGTGGGATTCACCGCAGAGTGTTCCTCGTGTGGAGGTCGGCAGGGCTCGCGTTGAAAAAAAGTTTTTGGTCCTGGCCACAGCATGGATTGGGTGGAACACGCAGTCTGTATTTCCCGAATCAGAGACTTTCGGGGCATCAACTGACAGTACTGCCATGTTCTGAGTGCATCCGACCCATTCCAGTTAGAGGCTGCTGATCGGCGGCAAGTTCGCGGCGACTGCGCCGGAGCTGCGGAGGATCCGATCGCAAACCTTTGAAGGTTTCAGACCAGAGATATTCTCCTGCCGATTCGCAGGACTCAGGTGACGCACGTCTTGAATTGCTCCGAGTGCGGACGCCAAGACATAAACATGTGGCTTCATATCGGGCTGTTTGTCCACACCGCGATGTTTTCATAGGACTTGCCAGGGGGAGGATCCAGTCATAGACGCTCCTGGGTTCCTTGCTCGACCGCAAGACAGGATCCGATTAATTCGAGCGTGCGCTGTCTGCGCAATGCTGCAGGCGAGTGCCGTTCCAGACTTCGGTGCAGACCTGCAACATGCCAGTCTTTCTGGAGGTCGGTTTTCTCATGCTGCAGTTTTCTCGTGCTTCAAAATCCGACTGCAGGATGAGCCAGACGAGGAGTTGTCCAGGGTGCTAGAGACAGCCGTCACCTTCCTGGACGAGGCAGCCGGACCGAGGGCGAAGGGCGAGCAGGGCCAGGGCCAGGGCCTGGTCACGTGCTACGAAAGTTGCACAGCTCACAGCACCTCCGTATTATGACTTCCGGACCCATATTTCCACTTTTTGTCTCTTGAGTGCTGTCCACTTGATCAGGACATTGGCACTCACCAGCCAAGAAACCCGCCAACTCCGAAGCTTCAAAATCTACGCATCAGTGTCAGGGTGTAAGCGACTTTCGCTATACATTGACGAACGAGCGCCAAATTATGTTCATCAACAATGTGTGTGCTTGGTTGCAAGGGGATCAGGTTCACACCTTCGACGATATGCTTTCAGAAGACTCGACGCAAATGGATCCACACAAGTCCTTGGTTTCGAGGTCAGCAGCACTGGTGACCTGCCTATACAAGGGTTCTTTGCCAGGACACATGCTGACCTGAGAACCCAGTGGTTGGAGCAACGGTCTGGCAGTCTTCTTGGGAAATTTTCGGCAATCTTAATGGAAAAGTGGCTACAATGTCATTCTGCGGATGCTCCACACTCTCATCCACGCAACACCAGCGTTTGAGTTCACATGGGTGGGGACGTTGGCATATGCATCGGGCAGGATCTGAAAGCAAAGCTGTAATTCGCATGTGTAGCTTCTGCAAAGTATGGGCTCGGAGATCACGAGCATGCAAGGATCGACGCCAGCTGTATGCAAGCCGGCAGGTGCAACACCGCGGCGGTCGGTGCTTGGTCAACTGCCGCAAAGGAATGAGCCGGTCTGCCGAAGCCTCAAGAATCTTCGTTGCGACGTTCAAGTCGCTACAACGGGATTCGAAAGTCGGGTTGACAGGCAGTAAGTGCCTGCGACCCAGAAGGAAAGGTATCCAAGAACTCCCGCACATGCACCCTGGCAGTGAGGTCTCCATCGTGCTCGCTTACCTCATCCTCCGCCAAGGTCGCCGTCCCAGACGGCAGATGCAAGAGCGGAAACGGGATTCAGGCAAGCCGCGGCAAGCCCCATGCATTGCCCTTTTTTTCAGCCTGAGAGCATGCCGAGACCTGTCCTTGCGGGCGGCTTGGGAGCTCGTGAAAACGCAACGGCCAGCCTGCGGCCCAGCGGCCCCCAGGGGCCCCCAGAGGGGCCCAGGGACCGGTCGCAGTTTGCGACACGCGGTGGTGCACGCCTTCAACAGCGAGGTGGCGCTTCCAAACACGGGCTTCCGCCGGCAGCTCCTGCAGCTGGAACTTGCCAAACGAGGAACGGTCAGTACTGAGTTGAACAGTGCGAAGTCCGCATCAGTTTACAGTCCCATGACGGGAGGCAGTTCTTCCATGGTCGCAGCGGACTTCAATGCTTGAGGCAGCAAACCTTGTCAGCAGTTAGCTTTGTCGCTGGTTTTGTCAACTTGTGGCCGCTGCAAGCGGCTGGTTCTACTGGTAGATGGTCTTAGGCGTAGATCACCAAAACAGCATGATCCGGGCACTGCCAGGAACAACTCGAGACCACTTCTACGTCGCTGGCAAGCC